ATATGAATATATAATAAATAATTAAAATAGTAATAGTTTTGTCCTAGCATAATTGATTTACTTCTTGCAACTCTGATACGCTTTTTAAATTTCCCAGTAAAGTTGTCTTGTTCTCAGATAGAGTAATTTCATATATAACATTCTAATGGTTTGCAGCTTTTAAGAAAAGGAATTGGATCTTGAAAATTGTTTGCCTGCTCTTGTATGTCCTTGGAAAGTGTCCAAGTCCAACACACAGGGAATTTAAAGAAATGAGTGCTTTGTAAGAAGGAATTTGTTTGAATATTTCATCCTCCCTACTGTTCTCCAGGAAGAAAATGAGGGAAAACTGTTGCAGTTTTTTCTGTACATAGTTTTTAGCAAAACTACTTGAGGGGAACAAAACAAAACAAAAAAACCAAACCTAAACCTGAAAATCCTAGAGTGTTTTCCGTGAGTGTTCATGTAAAGAAATTTTGATAGCATCCCACTATTAGTCAATGTGCCAGTAAGACAGTTTCCTGCTATGCTGCTGTGCTGTGAAAGAAGACCCCTTATAATCCTCAAATTATAAATAAGCAAATCTTAGAAATACTGTTGCTCAGGATACTACTGTCTTAATGTATTTTTCAGTAGCAGTTTCGTGCAGTCAGTGAACACTGAAAGTTCTCTGTGATGAAAATGAAACATTCTTTCCATAGAAAAATGCCATGTTTTTAATAAAATCTGTGTGTTTAAATGGGACTTAGGAAATTTAAACAGGCATGAACTTTTCAAAAATTTGGTGAATTCTGAACTGCTTTCTACTTGAATTAGAAAAGCTCTAAGCATTGGACTTACAATTGGATTCTTAAAGAAAACAATTTGTGTAGGGCCTTGGAAAGCCCCCAAAATGCTGAAACTATTAAGATCAAAGCCCTGAGCTGCTGTATGTCATGTACTGAGGGCATAGAACTGCAACAAAATTTCAAACACTTCAGCAGCCACTATCTGAAATCACTGAGGTATGTTCAGTGGAGCTTGCTGAGATTTCTTGAGAAGAAGGTAAATTTGTTTTAAGAGGAATCTTTTGCTGGAAGTTGACTTGTTTTGATAAATAGCAGGCAGTGAGAATAATTTTCTTTGCTTTAGGGAATATAAATAAAGTTGAATAGAAATATATTTCTGCTTGCTGGTTTAAACTAGTTTCATCTAGCAAAAACACCCTCTTCTAGTCTTAAATTCTGTATTTCAGCAGAGCAGTGTTGGTATAAATCTGTCCGGAAATGGTGTTGTGCTATGTAAATAACACACTTTGTATTATTTTTTATTACTGTCTTTTTAGGTCAGTAGCTTTCCTTAGTAGGTTTTTTTTTTTTCCCCCAGCTTATCTCAGCTGAAGTTGGTGCACTCTGATTTTTTTCTTGGTGCTTTCCAGTCAGTGTGGATGTCAGCCAGGATGCCTAAGTTTTAGTGGACTCTTCCCTGAGGAGAGTGAGATAGAAAATTCCTTCTGTGGGTATAGGTCTGGATTTCTTTGCTTCCTTGTCCACTGTCCTGTAATCGTAGGCAGTCAGCTTGAGCAGGAGATGCTTTGATTTCTTGATCTCATTCACATACTTCCCCTTATGTCAGATTGGGATCTAAAGTCCTTGCTGCCCCAGTTCCATAGGAACGTAGGTTATAATCCTGTAAATCTGCTAATATAGGTGTAGTTGGAAAAAGAGGAAGGACGGTAGCTGAGATAAAGAAAGTTAGGGAGATAGGATGCTGTTGAAAACCAAACTGCAGGGAGGTGGTAAATCTTAAGGTAGAAATTGCATGTTATGTTGGGGCAGGGAGGGGAGGAAGGTGAGGAGGGCTATAGCAGCTCAGAAGGAATGGTTCTTGTATCTCTTCTGAAAACTTGAGAAGATACCGTGGTGCTATGCTTTTTGACTACCACCTGTAGGTCTCAAGTTGGAAATGAAGTAAAAACTTTAAGTGATAGTGTGTAGAGAAAATGATGGCTTAAACTGCTAATTTGCACAGCTCTTCAGATTCTTTCTGTAACATAGCTTTTAGCTATAGATCCATGTTGCTTGTAACCGAGTTGTATACTTGGTCATTTTTAGTACAATAGATGTTCATGGTTGAATGGCACAAGGGAAGACTTCAGTGCCCATTAAAGGTGAAAGGAGTGGAAGGTGAAAACCAGAAAATACTGTGTCTGTGAGACTGGGTTTTATGTTTACTGCAGCCTGACAAAGCTCTTGGCTTCTCATGGCATCGGTTGGTGGGAATGTTGTATGGCCTCATTGGGCTTGTGCTGGGTAAGGTGGTGGGAAACTTGGACTGAACACCAGTTTATAATACAACTTTGTCTTGAGCTAAAATATGCTGTCCTAAATTAATTACTACTTACGTGACAGTGTTCAAGCTACTTACTTGCCAGAGGAAAAGAAAAAATTGATAGCATAATTACCATAACCATACATTATCTCATGTGATGATAGTTACTAACAATGTGTTCTTTTTTTAAGATTAACTTTGTTGAAGTGTTTCCTTTGGTCTTGTTATTTGCAGCTTTCAAGAGCTTTCCAGAACCACCAAATAAAGTTTAATATACAATTTTGCAGGTTGGATTTTTGTACAAAGAAAAAGTTGCATATTTTGAAGGATATCTTGGGTAACTTTTGAGAATAGGTACTAGTACTTGGCAGGAAGTACATCTTCAGTTAATCTGGGTGTAAATTGGTTTTGGTTTTGAATATGTGACACTGACATTATAGCATTTGGCATGCTTTACAGCAGTGCTTTATGCTGCCAGCATCACTGTATTGACTTGAAGTGTGGAAAATACCATAACCCCATAAACAACTCTCTCTGCTACAAAACCTGGGTAAGCACACGAATGTTGCAAAGAAATTCCCTTGTCTTCTTGCAGATCTTGGTTGAGGGAGCTGTGTCGCTACCCTGACAAGAATATTTTTGCTGACAAGTGCTGATGCTTTCATGGGGAGTCTGCAAGACATAATGTGTAGAAGCAGAGGTTATAGCAAGTACATTTCAATAGAAAATGCTGTGTCTGAACTTTGGAGAAATACATATTTTAATATGAATTTTGATAATACTTGTGGAAAAGCTGTGTGTATACTCAACATTATATTTGAAAATTGCATAATAAATGAAAGTTCCATTAAGGTGGTGAAAATGTACACTGTTATTTTTGGCAGTGAATTAGAAAAGCAGAGGAATAATTTTAAGCCGCCTCTTCTTTTTGCTCCTTCTAAAAGACTTAATTTCCCCATGAAGTCCTTCCAGATACCAACTCCATTACTTAAGGAAAAATCACGGAATATATGAACTACGCTGCTACATGTGCAAAGGAAGCAAAGTTAATATTACGGGTACATCACCTAGTGAATTCTGTAACTTAAATGAGTGCAAACAGTGAATTTTGTTCTTGCTTGATTTCTATTTACTAAGTAGTATTGATGAAATTTCCTTTTTATTATTATTTTTAACAGCTTGTCTGTCAGGATTTTAGAAAGAATCAATATGATGATTTTTTTCAGTTCATAAACAAGATGCGACCCTCTTAAAAGCTAACTTAATTGAAGTTACATTGTCCTTAGCTGATAGTAATTTCAACTGAACTGTGTCAAATCTCTCAAAGCACTAATCTTGACTATTTTAAAGCAGATTATATCTGGTCCAGATGTTTAAAACATCAGAAGTTTTGTGGAATACTTAGGGTTGATTGGAACAGATTGCTTGGAATATAGGTCTCATAATTGAGTATGAAAATTGCAAAGTACTAGCCCTGCGAGGAAGGCAGGATGTTGGTCTGCTGCACAGCTGACTTTCAGGTTTCCCGTCTCTGGGAGGGAAAGGGAGCTATCCCACATGGACTGCATTCCTCTTGTCTGGGAAGAGGAACCTGTGAGGACATGGAGTTGTGGGGATGGATCAAAAATTGATCAGCTTAGCTTCTGCTTAATCTTGATCTTACTATATCATGCTTTCCTTTTTGCTGTTAGTTGTCAGAGCAGTTTATTCATTTTAATGGAGTTTTAACTTTATAAATATTTAATAAAAAAACCCAACTTTTCTGTAGAAACTTGTTTGAAGGTATTTCTCTTTGAAGTAGAGTTGTTTTTGTAGTTATTGTGAAATCAAATGTGATTGCTTTTATTGTGGAATTGTGCAAATACAAAGCATTCCT